GGGGAGCCGCTTAGCTGGCCGGGGTTTGAAGGTGAACGCCGACCGCGGCCCGACCTCGACCCGACTTGGCTGAGGGAGGCGGCAGCGGCGGCAGCTGGGCACGGCGGGGGCTCCCTGCCGCCGCCTCCCGGGAGCACACCGTCCCGTTGACGTGCAGGGGGCGTGTTGCGTCATGCTCGGCAGAGGTCACGGGCAGAGCTGGATTTTCCTCCCCGTCCCCAAACGTCCCGAAGAGGCCGAGTAAGGGCCTCCCCTGGCCTTCCCGGGGGGGCTCGGGTCTGGCCTCTCGGCCTGGCCCTGGCCCCGGCCCCAGGGCCGTCCCTGAGCTCCTCAAGCAGGCGCCTTCTCAGCAGCCTCTGCTTTGCCAGCTTATTTTAAAGGCCGGCCTGCCTGCGAAGCACATTGTTTAAGGTTTTGGCTTGACTGCTCAGCCGAGGAGCAGGGCTACTTTGTTGCACGGCAGTCACCCTCCCGTACCGCTTTTAGGAAGGGGGGCAGCTCTCGGAATGGCAAGGATCGCCCGCACGGAGGAGCATTGTTCGAATGGGTTGTAGTTGGTGTAATGTTTGTGTACGTGACAATGGCTAAGTAGAGCAGGCCTGGACGTTTTTTCAGAAATATTACTACTACTGCCTGTTCTAAGAAACTTATTTTTATTGCAAACCTTTTTTAGTTTTTTTTATTTTATTTTTCACATCCCCCATAACTTGTAGCGGTCACCCTTTCTCTCGTCAAAATTTAAAATGTGGATCCTTGCTTTTGGGGGCACAGAATAAAGTGTTTCTTCCAGGGGATTCCTCGGTGGGTCCCAGCTTTGTTTGTTTGTGGTCCTCCTGTGAGAGGACGGGTGGGGAAACTGCCGTCTGGGTCTTGGTAGCTCACTTGTGTGTCAGCTGTCCTCAGAGCTCCTCTGAGTTGGAATGGGAACAGGCCTGTGGGTATCCTTGGAAAAATAGCAGCCAGGTATGTGGGGAAGAGAGTCCTTGTGCACCATCTGCTTCTGCTACCAGTGTACACTAGATAGCCTGCCCTACCAAGCACCATTAAATTAAAGCAGTTGTCTTTTGCTGTAGCCTTCTGATGGGATCAGCAAGGGCACCACTTAAGACTTAAATTGTATTTGAGAATAAATCTAAATTTAAGACAAAGTATGGCCTATTTTGTAGTAAGGATTATGTGATGTGATGGCTGCAGTGGCGGAAGATGACTTGGCTCAGCAGGTTGCTTCTCATCCAGTCTTCTGAATGTATTAACTCACATACTTTGCTTAAGCTTCCCTGAATTAATTTGGAATCGAAGATCCTGCCTCTTCCATTTTAAATTCAAGAGAAAGAAGGTGCTCAGTTAAATAAAAAGGCGACATTTGCATGGCTGGGAAGAGCGTTTCCTTCTAGGCAAAAAGATGTAATGAGACTGTGAAACTTGTTTGGAAAGTCACTGAGGCCAAAAAAGAGTCCTGGATAGTCTTGTCTGTCCTCTGTAAAATGTATGTTAATGTCAACAGTTTTCCAGAGACATAATAACACAGAGTGAGATGATCTCAGCTGTGGAATTGTAATTGGGATAGCCAGTGTTTACGTGTTTTAAACAACACTGGCCTCTAAAACATTTGTTCTGTCACGAGTTGCATGTTAAACCTGAAATCCTGACTCAGAGTTTCAGAAGTCATAAACTGAGATGTGTTTGAGGGTGGAGGAGGGGAAGAAGTGGAGGAGGAAAGATTACCATAAGCCTGCCTCCTGCAGACTTCTTATCCCTGCCTGTGATCCATGGAGCAGGTGGAAAACTGCTCTTCCTGCCTGACCCCAAGCAGCGAGTCCTGTGTTCCTCTGACCAGGAGTACCTCGACCACTGTTGTTACTGTATGGGCTGGCTGGGTTGAACTCTTCTCTGTCTATGATTCGGTGATTGAGTCAGACTTCCAAGTTCAACATCCCCGTTGTTGTTACATTGGTGTCTGTTTTCCTGCTGCGTGTAGGTACTTTTTCTGGTATGAATGGTCTGATCCAGGATTTCAGTTATGAAAATGTTTCTCTCTTGTTCTAAATGCTGTTTAGATGAGTGTAGTGAGTATTTATTTTTCTTAGAAGTTCTTTTTAAATAAAAGGGTTTTTTTTAAAAAAAAAACAACACAACTCTTTAAAATGTATTTTGTATTGTAAAGCTGTTTTCAGCATCTTTTAGTATCTGCTGTAGTAATTCCCAGATTAGGAGCTCCCAAATAGCATTGGGAATCTACTGGAAGCAGAATTTGTGGAAGTGGGTCTACACTGAGATTGGGAGTCAAACGCCTAGAAAGAAGCAAACCTGGATGTGACGCCAACTATAAAAATGTTGAAGCTGCCCATCTGTTTGACTAACATGCAGAGCATTTACGGTGGTGATTGCAGATCTGAATTGTTGACGATACTTACTGCAAAAAAACACCATCATGCCATCCATTATTACAGTTCTGTGAACTGTTACAGATAAAAGACCTTGGGGTTTTTGGAGGACTGTCTCCTCCCTTGCTTGTTGTCTGATCTGATTTTACCAGTAGGACTTGTCCCTGGAACTGTCACGTGTGACAGGAATCTCGCTGCAGCACAAGAGCACGGTATCCACCGTTTGCTCGTTTTTCCCTCTGGTTAGTGTGACCCTCTCCATGCCCGCACTGTCCCACCGCTCCCCTGGCTGCCTCACTTCGCTCCCAGAACCACCGACCCCTCTCTGTTACCCCGCGGGGATGCTCGTGCATCGGATCTGCTGTACGGGGAGGCCTTGCCGCTGCAGGAGCAGAGGCTGCTCTGGCTGCTGAGAACCGAGAGGGGTGAAGCAGGGGCACAGCATGGCCAGGTGTCGTAGAGGACAAAATGCATATTGCAGATACTAAAGCAGCGTGGTAGAACTGACATCTTATCTTTTTGATATGAGCAAACTGGCTGTTGTTATTAACTACTCAGAAAACAGACTTTCGGAGAAGCAGTAAAGAGAAATGGAAATTGGAATCTGTATCTGCTGCCACACTTTAACTGCTTTTATAGGAAATGCTGCGTTGATAATCTAGAGAGGTGACTGTCCAAGACCTTTAGTTACCGATAGTGACGACGTGCAGGAGGCTGCAATCACAGCACCATGGTAAGAGGCTCCTGCTCTTGAGGTAAACGTTAGGAACAAATTCTTTTATTCTTCATTTCTTGGTTAACTCTTAAGTGAGTGTGCTGGTTTTGACTGGAATAGAATTAATTTTCCTCACAGTAGCTGGCATGAGGCTATGTTTAGGATTTGTGCTGAAAACAGTGTTGATAACACAGGGATGTTTTCGTTCCTGCTGAGCAGCGCTTACACAGAGCCAAGGCCTTCTCTGCTCCTCACCCCACCCCACCAGCGAGGAGGCTGGGGGGGCACAAGGAGTTGGGAGGGGACACAGCTGGGACAGCTGACCCCAACTGATCCAAGGGATATTCCAGACCATATGATGTCATGCTCAGCATACAGAAGGAGGAAAGGGGGAACATTCGGAGCCATGGTGTTTGTCTTCCCAAGTTACCATTAAGCGTGCTGGAGCCCGGCTTTCCTGGAGATGGCTGAACACCTGCCTGCCCATGGGAAGTGGGGAATGAATTCCTCGTTTTGCTTTGCTTGCGTGCACAGCTTTTGCTTTCCCTATTAAACTGTCTTTATCTCAGCCCACGAGTTTTCTGACTTTTACCCTTCCGATTCTCTCCCCCATCCCACTGGGGGGGAGTGAGCGAGCGGCTGTGTGGTATTTCGTTGCCGGCTGGGGTTAAACCGTGACAGTGAGGAAGGTGGAAGCTGCAGCAGGTGTGTTTTGAAGCACTGTATTGAGAGACCAGACTTGTTTCTTCTACGAATTGGTGACTCTGTAAAGTGTTAGATGGTATATCTTGCTGGCTGTTCTTTTCTTACACATCAGAGACAAGCAGAGGACTAGTATGTGGCTGATGTCTCCTGGCAGACAGTAGTAGTGGTCAGAGAGACTTAAACCAGTGGAAAGGAGACATGGGGGAGGAGAGGGCTGGGGTCGGTTGGGCAGCGCTGGGTGTGCGAGCTGTCCAGGGTGCGTTCTGAAAACTGTTTCACTGTGATGGCTTTGGTTTTGGTAAAGGCTCTAATGTGACGGTCTGAGCAGTGTAGTTCAGTGCGTTGGCATCTTTTGCACAGGTGAACTCCTGGGATCATTTCCTTTTCTTTGTTCCAGCCCAAATCAGGTTTGAAGCTCTCAGTTTTCATTCTTACACTCTCGAGTCTGGAGCAGAAAAAAAATTGTAACTTGCAGTAAAAGTTGCATCATTATTGAAACTAACCTGGTTTAAAAATAAATCCCTTATTGCCTTTATTTTAAATTTTAGTGATCTTCAATCCTTTAAATGTGAGTAACTTTAAGCGTACACAAATTATTTAGTGGTAATTTTTATCAAGGCTTTGCTGTTGTTTTCAGGTATATGTCACAAGGAAAACATGCAGAAGCAAGAGAACTAATGTATTCAGGGGCTTTGCTGTTCTTCAGTCATAACCAGGTAAGTCACTGGTTGTGTGTGTGGGTTGAGGAGGGGTCATTATTCCATGTTTTTGAGGGGTGAATGGTGAATTCTCAATGATAAATGTTTGGGGTAATTCCTTTGTAATCTTCTGTTTTATCTCTTTATTGAGCCTTTCTCCACAAAGAAGGATTATGCCAAACTGGAACATAAAGCAGAAATGTTTGTGAGCATCCAAACAATAATTGTAACCGCATTTGTTTTGCTTTCCTGGAGGCTTCTCTTTTGATGCCATCAAATTAGTATAATCTTTTTATAAGGGGAGGTTAAGACTTGATACTGTGCCTTAGCTGTAGATGTTGATACAAGTATTAAATCTGCCTCCTAACAAAATTCTGGTTGATGTTTTCTTTTATGTACTGATATGTTCATCACTACCAGTATGTGTCTGTTTTGTAGCAAAACAGTGCTGCTGATCTGTCCATGCTGGTTTTGGAGTCTTTGGAGAAATCGGATGCAAAAGTAGCAGATGACCTTTTAGGTGAGGTGACCTTTGCGCTCAGTTTGATGGTGTTTAGATGTGCTTTCACTTCACAGTGACTGTTGTTAACAGACTTGAAACCTGAAATCCTTTTTGTATGCCCTCTCACATGGCTGAAGGTTACCTTCATCATAGAAATGGACTGGGGAAAAACCTTATTAGAGAATAATGGATTCCTGATAACTTTGTGGGCATGCTTAGAACAAATACTGCAGTCTTGTGGCATTGTCCTTTCCTTGACGCAGCAGTAACGTATTGTCTGCACAGTCACTGATGTCCCCAGGGCTTTGGTGCGTGGTGGTTTCCCACCCTAGCAGTGTGTTAGTGTGCACAGTATTTGTGATTCAGCTGTTCACAAGGAAACTTTTCTTGTTTGACTGTGAGATTTGGTAAGCAGGCAATTCAAGGAGACCTTAAGAGCTGCCTGGCCAGACTACTGCTGCAGCACGGGTGAACTGCTCCTATTAACAACCTGTGGATGGAGACAGACAGACAGAGGCCGTTCTTTGTTTACTTAGATCGGCTCTAACATTTTGTATCCCATCTATGACTTATGGTGGTGCTTTTCCAAGCTACAGCCCTCTGTCCCTCACAGCTTCCCTGTGAATGGCAGGCAGTCCCATAACCTGCAGTCTTTCCTCCTCCTTGGAACTTGTCGTGGTTTAACCGCTGAAACCAGGACAGAACTGCATGGTCCTCTGGAATATCCTGTCCCCAACGACGAGACAGGGAAGCTGTCACCAGCTGACTGCAAGGCACAGCTTTTGGCTGTGGAGGAGTCATGTGAATATGGCTGGCTGATAGATGCAAGATTGACTTGATGTATGAGAAGTGGCTCAAGTTCAAAGTCACTGTTTTTTTAAGATGGCTTATGGAGGCTGTTAAGGGAGGTTAAAGACACAGTCGCACTGTAACTTAAAGATGCACTAGAAGCAGCAGTTCATCCTATTTCTGTTAATGCTAAATATTTGTGAATCTTATTGCTTCTAGAAAACTTGGCTAAATTGTTTAGTTTAATGGATCCAAATTCTCCTGAAAGAGTGGCTTTCGTATCCAGAGCACTAAAATGGTCTAGCGGGGGATCAGGAAAACTTGGACATCCGAAACTACACCAGTTACTAGCAATTACCCTGTGGAAAGGTAAGAAAAATTAACTGGCTTTTCTGTGCTTTGTTTTGAAAATGTTGAAAGTATGATATTGTAAGAGATCTACTTTGGAAATAATCTGAAGAAGCTGAGATGGAAATGATTGATTGAGTTCTGCTATTACCTGATTTTTGCAATAACTTTAGCTTAATGTTACTAACAAAAAAAACCCTAGGGCTGTAACTCTATATTAGTGCAAAACCCAAAACACAACTGCTGCTCTCTGTAAAAGGAAGGTTGATCCTTTAGACACTGAGATAGTTTGATGGAGTCATTAGAAGGAAAATTGCTGGCAAGCAAAGCTGTTGTGGGTGGTTTTTTTTTAAATCCTGTATAAACATGACAAAGATTGAAATACACCACCTAGCATCCAAAACAGTCTTTGGATCTGTAATTAGGTGCTTTTTGAGATGTTGACCAGCAGGCTTATTCCAGAATGAATGTTGTTGCCTTTGATTTATGTGGGATTTTATCACAATGGGATGTAAGATAAACCAAAAATGCATTAAATAACAATTTTAATTGTGGATAATAGCTAGTTTTTAAAGTCTTAGGTTTGAAACATAACAAAGGTGAGTGAGAACAGTTGAATAAATGCCATCTCTTCTGTGGTTTCTTGTGAGTTAATAGCTGTGCAAGATGATTGATTGTTTATTTTAAATTTTTCAGTAGCTGCAAAGTGATGATAGTGGTTTCATAGAACAATCCTGACCCAATGGTCAACATTCCAGCTCGTTGCCTTCCTGCGTGCCATGGGCAATCCCGTAGCTGTTCTCATGGGGCTTATGCTAGCTTGATGGCTGCTGCCAGCCAGAAAGGGAGGATTTTCCTCAGAGCATTTAAGTTAGAAGCTGAGGTACAATTAGGATAAGAAACGGTTGCATTCTGAAAGTAAAAAATCCTCATTTTGTAGCCATCTGCTCACTGTTCTTTTGAAGAGCAAAATGCATACGTTTTCTTAGTCTGTAGTTTTTGAGAGTTTCATCACAAAAGGCTCAGATTTTTAAAAAAAAGCTTTTAAATTCCAAAAATTATCAGCTATCCCGTTTTGATTTGTCACTGCAGTGATTTTGCATGATGCTTTGCTTCAAGTTAAGTTCTACCAAATCATTGCTATTTCTTACACCTTTTTTCCCTGTATAATTGCTGTTCTATTCAGCATATGGAAGCAATTTTAATTTTGATAGCAAGAGTGGGCTAAGCTAAAAATAGGAAATGCCTTCTTTCTGTGCACTTAGAAAGAAGGACGCTAAAGGTGTTGTTTGACTTCTTGCTGCACATAGTCTAATATGGAACTACTTGATTCTTCTCCCAAGCACTGATGACAGCACATGAAGTGTCAACATGCAGTTAGATAAAATGATATGACCGCAGCTCAAACTGTTTGTCCCAGTGGTAGCTGTATTTTGTGGTGGCATTGAATAAACTGTATTTAATAACAGTTGTTCAAATGTATTTAGGATAACATATTTATTATGTCCCTTTATAAATTGTTTGTAACTTACAAAGGAAAAAGCCCACTTTCTTTTTGCTAGTTGTCTTGTTTATATAGCATGTGTGTAGCTCTTGTCCTTTTACCAGCTGTAGTGTACAAGCCTAACAGATTTGTTTTTACGTTCAGGTATGATGAACTGATTTCTTAAAAGCCATTTTCTTTTTCCTTTTATAGAGCAAAACTATAGTGAATCTCGGTATCACTTCTTGCACTCCACAGATGGCGAAGGATGTGCAAATATGCTAGTAGAATACTCCTCATCCAGGGGATATCGCAGTGAGGTGGACATGTTTGTAGCACAGGCAGTACTACAGTAGGTGTTAAACTTTTTTTTTTTTTTTTTACTATTTTGCTGAGATGACACTGTGTTGGAGGCCAATCTAATTTAATCACGGTAACTGTGGGTTAACCATGCATGTGTTTCAAAAGAAACCGTGAAACTGGCCAGAGCTTCTGAAACTCACTTTACATGGTAACAACAGGAGAAAATCATCTCAAAACTCGTGTTCAATTGGTCAGACTGGGGAGAGAAAAAAAAACCCCGCAACATATTAAGGTCGAAACCTGAAACCATGTTAATTGCCTGAAGAATTAATGTAATCTGTTTGACCCTGAAAGCACAATTCTTAGCTTTGTTAATACTGCTTTATGTCTGGTTAGGGCTTACCTTGATGTTTTAACTAAGACTGGACCTAAGTAGGCTCTATTTTTACCTTTAGCGTAGTACTTGCTCTCAGTCTCGTTGTCCTAAGAGACAATTTGTCTTGGGTCACCCTGGTCTGTGAGCAGCAGTGCAATGGTTCTTGGTTTGACAGAGTTGCTGGTGGCTTTCATTTACTTTGGGCATTTATTTTGTAGGAGGTGGGAATGTAAGCTATTATGTGCCTTTGCAGACCTCATGTACAATTAAGGCTGACAAAGCCAATTTTACTGTGTTTAATCAGCTGATGGCTTTCTTCAGTCAGAGAAAGCAGCTCATGGAGGAGTCTGAGGAGGAGGTGGAGACAGGACTGTGCAGCAGGGAGTCAGGGAGAGAGTAGGTGTTGGGGGAGAGGGAGGAGGTGAGAGCAAGTCTGTCTCTCTTTTGGCAGCGCTGAGCTGTCATATCAGATTTGTCCTGCTTTCCATAGCTGGTTGATATAGATTGCAGTGATTTTGAGCAGTAGAAGATCTTTTATGGAAATCCAGTATATGCAGGACTCTAAAACAATTTTATGGGGCTTTTTTTCTGAAGGGGGGGGAAATTCTGGGGAGAAGTTACTAGTAAGGGGTTATTTTTTCAGTATTTATACAGCACTCCTACTGCATCCCTTAGTGGCCTATGTCTCAAATACTGTACTAAATCCTCTTACGTAGCAGTTTATACTCTCATGAAAATAATTGCAGTTCAGCAGTAAGGCAAAAGAGCCCAATGCCCTTGCATATGTGAGGGTACAGAATTAGAGGCCAGCCTGTGACCAAGGATGAGACTGCTCGTGGCAGCCTTCCCAGTGCTTGCTGACAGCATTTGTCCCAGATAAACCCTCTTGTTAGGCCTACGGGACTTGCAGAGATTGCCAGTTAAATTAACTGGACCTGAACAAAGATTTGATCAGTTTGGGAAATTGATCTGTTAACTGGTGACAAATGGCTTGGGAGCTCGAAGTGTAGCTTTATTATGAGACTTATAGACATGCGTGTCAAACTTATTAGTGATCCTGATGCCATGTTATTTTGAGGTACTGCTAATAGAATGACAGAGTCATCGGATGCTGGCAGATACATACTGAAAAGAGATGTGTTTGGGAGTGGATGGGACCAGGAGAGAGGTCTTTAATTAGGTTTTTACCTCAGCATAGTAAACTCTGGACCAGTAAATGCAATGTCATGTTTAATTTGAATTGCGTGGTGGACAGTATTTCCACATTTTGATTTAATTGATGCCTTCTTTTAGTAGCCGTCCTGTATACAATCTGCTTAGATCTTGGTTAAACTCATTCTATTAATACTTCATGTCACTTCTCCCTCCCAACCTGCTTATTCCACAATGTAGTTTAGTAGTGACTTTCCCCTTCCTCGGTTGATAGCCAAACCATTGCCAAAGATGTACGCCTCTACCAGTTAGAGGTTTTTGCCATCAGTTTAAGCCCGAGATGGTTTCTATGCACAAATGAAGTAGAGATTGTTGAGCAGTTGGCTTCCCTTTTCTTTCTGCATGTAAAACTACTTCTCTGCCTTTTATTTTTAACTTGCCCTGTTCTGTTTCCTTTTTCAGATTTCTCTGCCTAAAAAATAAGACCAGCGCATCAGTTGTTTTTACAACATACACACAGAAACATCCTTCAATAGAAAAGGGTCCGCCTTTTGTTCAACCACTGCTAAACTTCATCTGGTTTCTGTTGCTGGCGGTTGATGGGTACAGTCTGATTTTTCTCATGTTGCTCTTGGTTTCCTTTTCAGTTGTTTCTGAGATTACATTTTTGGTTGTTTCCTTTCTAGAGGAAAACTAACGGTATTTACAGTATTGTGTGAACAGTATCAACCTTCACTGAAAAGAGATCCCATGTATAATGAGGTGAGTTACTTTTAGTTGTAAACAGGATTTAACCTACAGAATTAGTTAAATAATAGCTGATTGTCTCCTGTTTTGTGACTTGTAGATACAAGTCAGCCATGTAGCTTGTGTGGCATGACCGCTGCCCATAGTATTTGCACCTGTAAACAAAGTAGCTGACACTGTTCTTCATCTTCTGTCGTTTCAGTACCTAGACAGAATAGGACAGCTTTTCTTTGGTGTTCCGCCCAAGCAGACATCATCCTATGGAGGATTACTAGGTAAGGCTTATGCTGACTATTGTTTATAGGTACCGCCAGTCTTTTCAGAGCAGTGGCTTATACAAAATGGCTGTGCTGGAAACAGAGAATGTTCTAACGAATGTATGAGTTTTTTCATAGCCTGTGGAAGCAGTCATTACTGTAGAATACAAGATGAATTGGTTGCATGTGAAATTAATTTGCTGAAGCTAGTAGACTTTTCATCTTTGGGAAGGGGAGACTCTGTAAATTACTCTTATGGTTAATTTTTGACATTATGGTATGACTTCCAAACGTAAAGAAAAATCTTGTTTGTATTAAAGCTTAATTTCCTCAGACTTCAGTGGCTGATTTTCTTTAGGTCAAGTCTGGGACTTTGGTAGAGACCTAATCAGTCCTGATATAATATGAATGTTCCTAGAGTAGAAGTTCTGAAATTAGTACTGCCCTTCTACAAAAAATGAAAGGGAATAGAGAAATTCAGCCCTCATTTCCTGGCTCTTGAATAAAATGTGAGCAAATTGAACTGGATTACTTGTGTAAAATCGATTGTTTTTTCTTGAGAACTAAGCTTCTCTGTTTGTGAACTGAATTGAAGCTTTACCTGCAAAAGTGAATTCACCGATACCCAAAGTTTGATGAAAAGCATGAGCATCTCATAGATCCCATATGTAAATAACAACTTTTCAGCAATTCAAGCATCTTTAAATTGAATAAAACGGGGAGAATGCATAAATGCCTCAAACAAGTTCGTTATAGCATGATGCAGACCATTGCTGGGTTTTGACAGTTTCATGGATGGAGGTGTGTCTTTCCTCATTTGGTGGTTTGGTTTTTGTCTTTTGTCTCAAGCAGCAACTATAGTACCTAAGTATGTGACTTCACTAGGGTTTTTCCAGTGTAATCCTAGAGAACGAACAGTATCAAAATACAGCTTCCCAGTCAATAAATTCCTTAATGGAAACCAGTGTGGGAATACTAATGTTCTGCTCAGATTCTTCAGTTTAAAAAAAAAAAAAAATTTTTTTTCTTTATTGAAATCTGCACCCTAGTAGGATGGTAGGAGAATAGTTAAAGGTTTTGAGATGAGAATGTAAAATTAGCAATTTTGACTGTCCTGTATTTTATTCTAGGAAATCTCTTAAACAGTCTGATGGGAACTGGAGAAGATGATGACACAGAAGATGGTCAGGAAGATAGCAGTCCTATTGAGCTCGACTGAATGTTGTTGTCATTGGGTGCCATGTAAATCTGATGATTCGATGACTCCAAAGACAGTTTTGGAATTTGAATCCTGCAGTTGTTTCTTGGCGCCTAAAAGGGCTCCTCCAGTCTTTTAGAAATGGTTGCTGAAATGTTTATAATGTTCGGTCTATATTATTTATGTAAAAAAAGAAAGAAACCAACAAAAAGTAGCCAAACGAACCAATCGGAGCAATTGTTAGCAGGTTTCCGATACAGCGGCTGGTGACTTTGATTAAAATATAGTCTTCTACGGTTTCTGATGCAGTATTCCCTTTTGCACAGTAATTCAATAAAGCATAAATATGGGTCTTGTACTTCATGGCCTACCCAATACTGTCTTTGTTATGAGAAAGCCTCCTTGAACTCTACCACCTCCAAGGAAGATCTCGAAAGGCAGGGTAATCAATTGAATAATTTATTCGCGAGGCTGGTGCCAAAAGTACTGTGAGATGAGCCAAGCAGCATAATTTGAGATGCACATCCAAGAGACGTTGATACCAAGAACTCGCTTCCACTGCCGTGAGTAACATGCACACCATTCATACTGCCTTTCACACTACTTAAGGTCTGGCTCTGGTTGAGTCCGTGCGTGTGTTTAGCCGATACTTCTGAAAAGCACAAGATTGCGTTGCTCTTGAGTAAAAGCCAATCAGTGGAACATAGGTAATTGGCTGCCATGTGGATCTCTCTTGCCTAGGTATAAAAATTTGGCATCTAAAATACCTCCTCTGGCTTGTGGCTCTACTCCTTTGGAATAGGTTCTTTTTCAGTGCAAGTTCACAACCATACATAAAGGTGACGGCTTTATAGTGAATGAAATGATTTGCTGCGAGCAATGTATGTGTTTGAACTGCAGCTGTATGTAAAGAAAAGGGATACTGCAGAACTTTTGGTTCTTTATGATATATTTATTTTTCTTGGTGATTGATTCATTTAACACTTTCTGTAAAAAAAGAATAAATCAATAAATAATGGAGTAACTTCAACCCCAGTGGTAGGCATAGCCATTCTACTTCTCCTCCTCTTTAATCCAGCACAGCGGATGTCAGTGGTACAGTGAACAGATGAACTGGTGGAGAAACGCTTTATTTTTTCATGATGAAAATAAAAAGGCTTAGATTAATAAACAGCAATCATGCATGGGGGAGGGAGGGATTAATACAAATTTATTGACTGTATGAAAAGAAAAGGAATTGAAAGGAAGACTTTGTGTTAATTGTGAAGTCTCAAATAAACACTTTATACCAGGATATGTGGTATTGCTGCTTTCTAGTTTTACAAGCAGAGATCTTACTTTCCTGTTTTTTTTTCCCCTCTGCATTTGACTGTGGATCATCTGGAGCTCAGTGCTGCAGCTTTTCCTCTGTGCAGTAAAGGCAGTTTTTAGTTGCATATTGTAATGGCTGGAGTAGATGTGGATTGCTTTGATTTGCAGCAAGTTCAGGGAAGAACCCCCTACCTGGGATGATGCTGTAGACTTTAATAAATGCTCTGGGACACCGGCAGCGGTTAAAAGCCACATCACTGCATGCCTTTGGCTGCCAGCGAATGTGCCTGTCTTGGGACAGCTTAAGGTGTCCAGCAGCAACAATCCCTCCTGTGTCCTGCATATACAGCTCAAAGTGAGTTTGCGTGTTCACCTCGGCTCTGCCAGGTCTGGGCTGCTGAATATAGGTGTGTGTATAAAATACATATTGAAATATATATACTACACACACACAAATATCCTTTTGTGTATGTAATAATTTATAATTAAATAATTGTATGGCATATCATTTGTAATATGGATTATATTATTCTTAATTATATGTGCACACAAACAATCGTTATAGCTAGCCATAAAGACAAACAACCAGCCCAGCCTGGCCACTCCCTGCTTCTAACGTGCCTTGGTTTTTCAGTGTGAATGAGTGACACTGTGTGTGTAAAATACATATTTAGATGTTTAATTTAAAGTATTTATATCTATAGTTATGCATACACATATGCATGTGGATATATGTACATTTATATGTAATGTATTTATCTTAAATTTATAATATAAATTATATACTTTATGTAAAAAGCATGCACATGTGTATGTTTATAATAGATAAATATTTTATGATTTTGCAATTATAAAAATTTCTCTATACATATACAGACATGTGCATGAACTACATTTACCTTATATGTGTAAATTAAATGTATATGGCTCATGATGGCTACATATATACGTGCATGTGTTCATAGGAACACACATAAAGTGTATTACATATTATGCTATAACAACTATGCACAAATAGTTGTGTCTGAATAGTCAACAACTCCGTCATAGAATTAATTTCTATATTCCTAGGAAATATATATCTTTTGTGTATGTGTGCATACATAAATATAAAATATGAGTATTATCTAAAATAACTATATACAATATACACTATATAATACACATATACACAAGTAAGTATAATATGGAGTGTGTTATGTAACAGACATAAATATGTGTGTGGTTTACATGAAATATATTTACCTGATCTCTACATACACACACACACACACACACAGCTGCTCCCCCCCTGCCCTGAGCAGCCCCGGGGGGGGCAGATGGTTTTGTGGGTGTCCCACACCCCCAGGGCTCTCCCAGCACCATCACCTACTTCTTTTCATTTGTTGTGTTTTTTAACCCCCCTCCCTCCCCTGCCCCAGCACCACACAGCCACAGATGGCTCCGACATAATAATTTATTGGTTCGAATGACATTTAGTACCACAGTTGTCTTACCAGTGACAGAACGAATGCGTACAGCCGATGAGATGCTCTCATTTACACACACCAACATAAGAAACGCATCGGACAGGTCCGTGCCGGGGGCTGGTCCTTCAGCGGACGCCGGAAATTTCATTTTTGGGTAAAAATCCAGCACGTGGTGTGCAAGTCCCAGCCAGCCTGCACCGACTGCAGGAATTACAGTGCTCAACACAGCGCTGAAACGTCACTTCAAGCAGCTTTTTTTTTGTTTTTTTTGGCGGGGGGGGAGGGAATGGAAAATCAACAACAACAAAAAAAAAAAAAATCAAGAGAATTATTGGAAAAAAAAAAAAAAAGTGCAACCACCAGTCTGGAGAAGCAACGTGCCTTCGGCTGGAGGGACGTGCCTGCCGGGGGTGCGCTGGGACAGGCTTTTACATCTCCCGTCAGAAAAACTGCACCTACAGCTCAACCCCCCCAGCCCACGCTGGGCTCCCAAAATGATGCGAATCCCCCAGAACCATGAAACGGGAATGACCCGGGGAGCAGCGCATGGGCCCCGACCCCAACAGCTTTGCTTCCCCAGCATCGCCTCATGGCTCGGTGCCCCCCCCAACCCATGCCCTTCGTTAAGCAGGTAACGAGGCTAATGATGCCCGTTCCCTTTATTTCTAAAACCCATTCCACCCTAGCCCGGGTACGGCATCGCCACCGCTCCCCAGGTGAGGCGATTTACTTCTCATTTACCCCGATGCCGTCTGGAGGCTCGGCCATTTCGCCCGTCACCGTTTCGGATGTTTCCAGGTCGATGCTTCACATCTCGCGAGGACTTTACTGCTCGGGGACCCGCAGCCCCCCGCGCCCCCCCGCCGAAAGGGCTGGCAGCGAGCTGGGGCCGTGGGGATGCTCAGCTCCAGCCCCCCAGGGACTCGTGGGGAAAAAGCCCCATCTCGACCCCGAGATGTGCTACCAAAGTCTTCGCCGTCCCGCCGAAGCCGGTGGGACGTCCCTTTCAGCGGGTGTGGGGTGACGAGGGGGGGTCGTGGGACCACCCGTCCTGTGGAGCGGCCGCAGAGCCGAATTTCGGGTTGGATCAGCATCTTCTCCGACGTTTCGCTGCCGCCCTTCTTGGTTTCCGACATGATCAAGTGAATGATGAGGGGAAAGGGAAGTATTATTATCATTATTACTGTTATTATTATTATTCATTATTTTTAACATTTCAAATAAAACCACGTTGTGTTGTAAACAGAAGCTCACTCCTCAGGTCTGCCCAGCCAGTCCCAGCTAAGGTTTATGTTTGAAATGGGCTTCCACTGAAAGAAAAAAAACAACAGAGAAAACCAAGCTAAAACCAGGACAAGCACTGGCAGGTGGCGACAGCCCCGCGCGAGCCCACCCTGCGGATGGTCCTCGTCCTGCCGATACCCCTTGGGTCCGATTATCCTTATAACTGGGTGACCCATCGTCCTTAGAGCAGCGTGGCCATCACGCCAGAGGTGAAGAGGAGGGAAGGATACGATCCTTCTCCTCCCAGTGTGAGTCCCTCTCTCCTTGGACAGACTTTGCGTCCTCCCCGCACGCGAGGGAGCGATGCCGCCGCATCCCCGATCCCTCTCCATCCCTTCCGTCCTCTCACGCACGGGAAGTCGAGGCAGCGAGGCTGACCTCCAGCCCTCGCCAGCAAACACACCTGCGTATTCCTGAGGCAGCATTGGCCGGCTTATAACTTTCTGAAAAGTCGTAATCCACTCCAGCTGGTCGTCCTCCGTCTCGCAGGCGAAGAGGAATTTCCGATCCGGGGTGACGATGGTTATCCCGTGCTGCCAGTGGTTTCCCTGTGTGGATGGCGGGAGCCCCTCCAGGACCTTGTAGCTGTTTTCCTTGCTCCCAATAAAAACTTCCCCTCTAGCAAAGGCATCCTAGGAGACAGCAGAGCGGTGAGGCAGGGATTGCGAAGGGGAGCTCTGCGTCCCGGGCAGCCGGGACACGGCTCACCCTGCACCATCCAGAAGCCCCATCAGCAAAGTGCAGCAGCCAAACACCAAAAGCACCAGCCACCCCACGAACTCGCGCTCCAGCTCCTCCCAGGGACACCCACGATAGAGGACCAACACCGGGGATCCAAAATCCAGATGCAGAAAAACCTGCAGCTGGTACACAGGGTTTCCAAAGCATTTTTGGTGAAGGCACAGGGCTGGACACCAGGCAGATCCACCTGGCAGTGATGGCTCAGTGCCCCCTTAGCTCTCCCACCAGCCTGAGCATCACTGCAGATGATTATTATTACTTATTATTATTACCACCACTATTACTATTATTGCAGATAATTCCCAACAGACAGCCCAGGCACCTTCATCTTACCAGGGGATCTTTGAAATACATGAGCCGTCGGTCATCCATGGTGAACCATCGCTTCTTGAATCCCTCTGTTTGCTGAAGAGTCAAAAAATGCCGGATTACAGACCAAAGCAGCACAGGTCCTCTCTTACCAGGCATGACCCAGGAGTCTGAAGGCACTCGGAGAAGCCCAGCGGGCTGGGGGAGTTGGGAACACCACCAGGGTGCGGGCCAGCAGGAGGGGAGATGGGGTGGCTGGTTCGTGAAGTGGTTTTGGATTTTTTTTTAACGTTTGCTCCCAGGTGAGGAAAGTGTAGTAACACACTCATGGCGTTAAGGTTTTGCCTCTCCGGCAAGGGTGGGTTTCTCCCACCAGCGGACCCTTCTCAGCCCTGTACAGAGCAAGACTCATGTTTAGAGGGACTGCAGAAATGTTTTATATCCTACCTTTGGCCCCGTTTTCTCCATGTACCCTTCCTTCAGGTAGTTTCTAGAAAGCTTTGGCACCAGCTGCAGCAACCCAAGAGGAGAGAAAAGAGAGCAGCGTCAGATGGAGGGCACTGGGGGGTCCCCAGGCGTGCGGGACAGGGCTGGGGGGGCACTGGAAGGAAAGCCCACGCTGAGCTCGCCCCCGGCCCCGAGCCCACCCGACGGCTCTGGCTGAGGGTTTCAGTCCCACTCCTCCAAAGTGCTCAGAAGAGGCGGGCGCAGAAACACGGAGCACCTTTGAGCACTTCACCGGCAAAGCCAGCAGCCTCCAGGAGAAGCCCCTGGGCCAAATCCCACTTCGCCGGTCAGCTCTGGCGATGCATCTCCTCCACCAGACACAGTGGGAGCTCCTCACGCAAGCCCTAAAGTATAATTTGCCTGTAAAACCCCATTAACACGTGCTGCCTGTACACTCCCCCTTCCCTGCAGATATTACTGACAACAGCTACCAGCGCCGGGGATATTTTTAACGTTGCTTAGCGAAGACAAGGCAGTAGCTGCGAGATCTTTGCAGATGCCTCTAAAAGCCTCTTGAAAGATGACAAGTCTCACCGAAACCAGAGCCGGCGAGCCTGGCCACGTGCCTCCCCACCCCTGCTCCTGCCTTTCATTTAAACAGGTTATCAACAGCTCCGCTTGCCAAACCGCACTCCCACGACGCCTAACTCTGCCCAACAGCAGCTCTGGTCGAGCAGGCGTGTACTTGTAGGGCAAAGACACCCCAAAATACAACAGTCTGAAGAATCACACGGCTGTCTCGCAGCGGCCGGGAGCATCTTCACCTTGGACGCTTCATCGTGGGCAGCGAAGGGCTCTGAGTGTTTATAGCCCCGGTGTTTGCTCCTAGGATGGGGCTGAGGACTCTTTGCTAAGCAAAGAGCTCATCACCCTCGGCTCAGAGAGGTTCTTCCACCCAGCAGATGGGTCCCCGAAGCATCCTTCAGAGAGCCTCGCTCCCCGGGACCTGCAGAGGCAGCCTGGGCATCCTTAGAGTGGCGTGAGCAATTCATACCTCTACCGCATTTAACCTGGCTCCTGTTTAAATTTAATGCCTTTTCATCTCTCTGACAGGGTAAAGGAATCATAAATTAGATGCTAATGATGGCAACACCCAGGATGGAGCTACCTGGTGTACACCACCCAGTCTCCACAGAGGTCTCCCCAAGCTGAACGCTATGAAGTGTTGTTCAGTATTTCAAGGTCGTAAATAAAACCTCGCTAAACATTACACTCCTCTGTTTCCTCCAAAGAATAATAGATGAGAAGAGGATGATAAATAAAAATATAAATAGCTTATCTCCCACCAAAACTGCCAGCAGGTAAGCATATAAACACTCTCACCAGCTGCTGGACAAACAGCAACTCTGTTAAGGTCTGTGGGGGTTTTCTGGGCAATTTGATTCAGATATGTCAACCAACTTTAACAGAAGTAGAGGATATGGAGAGGGGTAGAAATGATTAAGGGAAGTATACGCTGTACAGTGACTCTACTATAGCCGGCTAACGAGGCTCTTCTTACGGTTTTTGCTATTTGCCCAGTTTAACTTCTTGTCAGAAAACTGAAGTCCCTCATGTTGGGGATCAGATACCAGCTACGGGACCGTCCTTCTTTATTCTCCCCATGGATTAGGACAATGTCGGTGCATGGATCCGACGGGAAAGGCTTTGGCTTCGGGGTCCTCGGGGCGCACGGGCAGCCGGGGGACAGAGCCACCCTGCAGCTCAGAGCCGGCCCTGGACCACGACTGGGCCCCTCCCAGGTAATTAGTAGAAGGCAGGTAATGCAATTGGATTTCAAAACCTACAAAGTCAAGGAGGTAACAGAGAGCAATCAACAACAACAACCGCCAGTGACGTTGCACACCGATTGCGGTGCCACTGCAACACAAGGCACTTACTGTCAGCTTGCCTCTAGTATTATATTAGCAAAAGGTAATGCAATCAGCAGTTCCAGCTCCCGGAAAATACAAGACAGAGATTCATAAGACAGGCTGCATTGACCTGCACACAAGAACTCATCCCAGAGGCCTGGGTACAACACTGACATTCTTTTGCCTTCATCTTTTCTACCTTGCAGCCTTTGTTTCAGCTTTTAATATTACAGCAACCATCTTTGAGAAAGACGCTTATGGCTTCTGTATAGGTGACAGCACTGGAGTTACTCATACACGCGACTCACGTTTTGAGGGTGAACATGTGTGCATGCACACGCACGCATTTTCCAAGGCTGGATGTTGGTAGCAGGTGCTGCACATGGGCTCGACATCCCACCGCAATCATTTCAGCCCAGTAATTGCAAAATGCTCTGAAGGATGGCACACTATCCAAGCTTTCCAGCTTGTTAACAAGATGCTAAAAATGAGCAAGAGGGGGAAAAAAAAAAAAAACCAAAACCTGCAGGAAAACTCACATCAATGTCGCTGGCTCCAGGGAATGCCACTTGTAAGTAATGAAAACGTGCTGCCCGGATGGCGTTGAACCAATCCACTATTTCCTAATAACGAGAAAGAAAAGCATAGTGAGTAACAGTCTGCACATAAAACAACACGATCCTGCTGCGTTTCATCTCTCCCATCACTTTGTCCCAAGTGACAGCACGCAGTTTAGCAGCAGTCCCAGAAAAAATAAGATACAGACATAAAAGAAAGCAGCAAACGGGTGAAGGATGGGGAACATCCAGCTGCTGTCCCAGGCTGCAAGACGTGCATCGAGCTCTGCAGCCCTCAAGGGGCTTTCTGCAGAGAGAAGGATTTAAGCATGTCTCCGACCTGGCAAAACCAGCAACAAGTCAGCATTTGAGATATTGAGCCCAGCATTGAGGTTCACCCTATAAACACTGCTCGGCTCGTGCTGGCTGGGTACAAAAGCAGCCCGACACCTCTGCATCCCAGCCCCGTGCCTCCGCCAGCCACAAGCTGACTGTGGGCAGGACATGCAAGGAACACCTGAATCCCACCCACATTTTAGCAACATACTTCAGTGTTTTGCTAAAAGAGTGGCTAAATATCTCTTAATCTTTGTACTCCGGTCTATCAGTCATATCTGCAAGTCCTCGAAGGATAAGCACAGTGATATTGAAGTTCTAGCTCAATTCCCAGAAGCTCTGGCACTTCTTCCTTTCCTTGGCAAAAATTTCTCTCCTTTTTCTGTGAGTTTTTGGTGGTGGTTTTTTTCCCTACAAAATAGTTGCTTTATAACTTCTTTGTTTTTAAATTCATTTATTCATTTGTCTCTGGTGAGACCCACAGAGCTTGTGTTGCACTGGATGCCTTTTTGAAGGTTTCACTGAGAAATGCCACATTAAGTGATCCACACAGGGAGCTCTCAAATACTGCCTTGTGGTCTAAAGGTACGGGCGAAGGAAAGGCATTTTGGAAGGGAGATGTAAGAGCTGCCTGCGCCGGGATGCTGAGCTGCGGGGAGACGGATGCTGAACTATCCGGCTGTTGTTATCGCACGTGAAGCTTCACACGTCAGGGACAGGTTCAATGAGCCAGACGCGATCCTAAAATAAACGCTGTCAACCCTTTCAGGTGAGGTTGCTGTAGACTAGGAAAGACCATATCAAAGTAGAAGTCGGCTTTCAGTAAAATTTTAACTTTTTATGCTTTAAAAATGATTGGGGGGTGGAGGGGAAGGCTCTTAAGTCTAATTTTGGAGATCTCAGTTTTAAGGAGTTGAATTGTGGGTATCTCAAAAATGGTCGAATGTGGTAAATAGCCACCCTCTAAAAGTTCAAACGCTTTGGTTTGTTAATCTACTTCAAGTTAAAGGAAAAAAAAACCCACAAACCATAATAGGAGATATACAAACAATGTTTTGGAAAACTCTGACCTACTTGTCTGAGGTTTTACTTACTTATCACTTGCTTTTCTACCCTAAGCAGCTAAGCAGACCCCAGATAGCAGCACAAAGAGGATCAGCGAGAGGAACTGGCTCCTGAAGTTAATGGTGACCAAACCAGACTGGAAGTAATGAACAATAAGCTGTAATGTTAAAATGTTATTTCATGCAATCACCAACTGGATGGCTATATATATATATATATGGGTCTCCTTCATGATCGTGATGCGAGATAGGGTTTCACCCTGCAGAAAAGCAGAGGCCAAAATCCTCATTGACTCCCAGCAGCCAATTGCTTCTCATAATATTGATCACCCATCGCTGGAGGAAGGGGCACCACCACCTTTCTTTATACAAACCTATATCTGCACATGCAAAGCCAGAAGGCTCAGTTGCTAAAAATTTTCTGCGGGTATAATTATGAACAATGCCACAGATAGAGTGAGGAGATGATATCTGATGTATTAAACCAACATCAAACCGCTCGGTGTTTTCAGACGGGAAGGTGCCGCCTCAGTAGCTCATTAGCAGAGATTCCTTCCACTGATTTATGTCTCGGAGCAAGGAGAGAAAACGAACTACTGCCTGCACCTTTGCAAATGGCTTTTCCAGGCTCTCGGCTTCCTCCTGGTCTGCTCGCGGTGCCGCCGCAGACCCCCGCTCCGCCTGCCCCCTCGGTGTCCCGCCAGTCTCCGTCCTGCACCAGAGCCACCCACATCGCCGTGGCAGCCTCAGACCGACAAGCCCAGACAAAAACGCAAATTCTTCTCCCCATACCTCCCGCTCATCCACGCCTGGAGCTCAAGCAACGAACTCTTCTGATCGATCCCTCATGCCACCTCTTCCCATCCTGAAAGCTGCCGGCGTGGCTCAGGAAAGGAGGAGCACTGGGAAAAAAGCATTTTGCTAATCTATCCAGAGACCATCCAAAGCCCTCGGTCCGCAGCCCACCTCTGAGCATCATCCTAAGGGCGATGGTGACACGGGGGATGGCAGCAGCAGACGACAGCTCCTGCCGTGGCTTCTCAAAGCCCTGCAGAGGGAGCTTCAGCCCTGGAGAGGAGCTGGGAGCGGTGGGAAATCCTCTTCTGCAGCTTTCTGCCTCCCACGCCCAGATGGAGATGTGGGGACAGGTAAGGCTGGCTCCAAGCCTTGTGCCCCCCAGGAGGGACGGACAGTTCGGGTACCCCCAGGACACGGGCCAGTCCTCCGCAGAAGATCGGTCTCCAGCTCCAGCCGGTGCCTCCGCGTCCCCCTGGCTGGCTCTGGTGGTGGGTAAATGCTAACAAGGGACCACGCCGACATCCTTTAAAATGGTCAGAGCCCAAGACACATCTTGCCCTCCCCATCCGGACACCCACATCATGAAAGCACCCAGATATGCCCACTTTGAGCAGGGTGCTGGGGCTGGTTTCCGGCTCTCGTTTACCATCAGGACACACCGAGGAGCTGACGAAGGAACTACACCTCCAGGAAAGTCACGTCATGCTGTCCCACCCCACGAAGCTCTGGGACGGCAGCACGGCGATCCGCTTCGTCCGTCCGTCTTTTATCCCTTTGGGTGCCTTATTCCAGCAAATGCTGCCAGGGCGGCAGGGCTCTGCCAGCTGTTTCAGGGGTCGAACAAGCACCTGTGGGATTATCCCAACCCAAGAGATGAGCCTGCTTTCTTCTGGGGTATTGCAGCAGAAAAGCCAAGTGGAGAGCAGCACGCGATGCTCTGGATTACTGCCGAGCTTCTCGGTGGAAAAAAACAAAAACAAACCCAAACCCTGCCCTGGTGGGAGGCCAGCCAGATCGGTGACAGGATTAGGTGGGGAGGGATCAAACCCCAGAAATATGAGACAGGAGCCTAAATCAGGCTCAAGGGCTTCAGATTGGGGAGAGGCAGCACCTCTGGGGTACAGGGGGAGACCCTGGGGCTGCTGGGGGAGTACGGGAGGGAGAGGAGGGCAGCAGGGGACCGCAGGCGAATTCCAGGGCTGCCTCCGGTCCCAAAGGGCAGGAGCTTACCCCAGGGGCTGTCATCTTCTTGCAGCCCTCGCTCAGTCGAAGGGGCAGACCAATTTCAGGGAAGTCGAAAGAAATTCAACCTGGGCCTTATCAGATGGCATCAGAGCGTGTCCTGCCAAACCACCGACACGAAGGCAGAAGCAACCATGTGAGACCCGTGAGACTGCTCCTTCTACGAGCTCCCAGCAGAAAGCTCAGCCTTTTAAACCCAAAACCCAAGTAACAGTAAAACCCTGACTCCATTCCTCGCAGCTGGGCTGAGCGGACCACCAAAGCCCAGCAAACCAGAGACACAAGCCCAATGGTGGGATGCAGCTTTCACAGGAAAGAACTTCTTCCTCTGATTTTGGTTTAAATTGTGCCCAGGGAGGTACCTGAGAGCGACCCAGCAATACTTTGCTGTTCTAAAGCAGCACCTGGTGACAAGCAGCACCTACTCCGCACAGGGGGACTTGCATATCCCACCAGGCAGAGCGGACGGAGGGTAAATTCAGGAGCAGCCCTGCCGGAGCAGCTCCCTGGAGCCCACAAATGCACAAGACCCCATGGTGCTGCAGGCACGACAGGCTGGTCTGGAGCACAGGGCTGGAGAGACACAGCCCGGCTAATAAATCACTGTGTGTGCAGCAAGCAGAAGGCACACAGGCATGACCACGCTGTGCCGCTTCCTACCGAGCAGCAAGACCTGCCTAGTTTTAAGTGGTCATCATTGCTTTCTTTTTATAGACAAACACATACATGAGGGGAGAGAGAGACTTTCTTTATACATCTATATACAGCAGCGCAGACACAGGCACGCATTCATCTATTATGCACGTCTATTATATGCATATATGCATGTGTGTGCATGCATATTACATGCGCATTTCTGTGCATGTACAAAACCAGGCGATGCCACTAATTAACCCAACCTGACACACTAATTGCCTCCTGCCAGGAGTGCCTGCGCTACACAGGAACCACATCCAGCCTGTCCAGCGCAGCCCTGCGAGCACCACAGGCATCATCCTGCTCCACCACCCCTGGAGCCTGACGGCAGCAGAGGCAAGATCAGCTTTGCTCACCCGCAAGCGAAAAATATCTTGGGTTTTGGTGGCATTATTGGCCTATACAGTCTGGAGAGCAGTGACTGCTGTGAGCACAGACTGCTTATCCCTAGCAGGGCTGCCTGGCTCGCCGTGCCTGGGTGAACAGCTAGGAAGGGCTGTGCACCGAGACAATCCTGTAAATCCCTGCCATGCCGGTCCACGAGGGATCACCCCCAGAAAGCCTCTCTGACAGACAGGACACCGAACAGGATGCAACTTCAAAGGCTGAAGGCACCATGACGGCCAGAGGAAAGTAGATGTGATGTCAACACGACAGCTTTAGGCTCTGATTTTGTGGCTGCTCCAGGGCTGTTGGTATTTTATGGGGAGCCCCAAATATTTGGGAGAGGGAAGAAAGAGATGAAAATAAGGCTGTGAGATGGCATTCACTGCAAACTCACCTGGGTCTGCTCTCTGCATGGACACGGGGCCATGTCGCCGTTCTTCACAGTGGCCCCCCAGGCTGGGACCCCTGTGACACCCTCCAGGAGGGCTGGGACCCCCCTCGCTGCCCTGGTCTCCGTGTCCCGCTGTCCAAATGACCGCCCCAGACCCGCGAGCCCTCTTCTTCCCACCTCCCTTCAGAGGCACGGAGCATCAAAGCAAGGGGATTTATTTCAATGCAAACATGCATATTTGGATTTTATAAAGTACAAGACAGGCAGAGAAACAACCAGTTCCTCCGTTCTCCTACAACCCAGTTCACTCCCCTTTTGCAAGTCCTTAGACCGAGTCCCCACACCTTTCATTGCTCCATTCACCCCATCTCCTTCTCCAGGCACCGAGGAGCCTGCCTTAAAAAATGCCTCTGTCCCTGCGTCTAGTTGCAAGCAGAAGAACAGTAACTCCCTCCATTTGCATCTCATTATTTAGAAGACACGGTTTTCAACCTTCATGCTTGGAAGGACACGACAAACACGCTGAAAGCTGGCTGTGCATCCTGTACCCCCGTCCCTTCCACACACTCCCAACAATTCCCAGCTCCATTAGAGCCTGGTGTGCCACAGGCTGGCTCTGAGCAGCATCAACCCCCAGGACCACGACCCAACCCTTCTTGTTACCTCCGCGCTCTCACCTTGCCGTCTTCATGATAGACAAAGATGTTCCTTGTGCTATTGTCCTTCAAGTAAGTGATCTGCAGTCCATGTGGGTTCCCGATTTTTGCAGGCTGGAAAGTCGCATTTAGATGTTCGATCTTCATAATTGCTTTGGGTTCTTTTGCCTGGAAAACACAGCTGAGTGAGCAAACACCTGAGAATGAGCTTTCAAACCAGAAAGCAGTTCACTTGGTCAGAAAAAACTCCTGATTGAGGCCATTAGCTAAAAAACCTGACTCCCAGCACACAAAACTGTCTGGTGATGAGATATCTGAGACTTTGCTCAGGCTTTACCAGCCTGGAAAAATGCTCTGTTCTGCAACATTCAGCAGAGTTCAAGGGGAGAAAGGTTTCAGCCCAGAAGCAAGATGGACAGGCCAAGTATCATGATAGGATGTTATGCTATAAAGAGAAGCATTTTCACCATGCCTCCTGTCTCAGCCTCTGTTTAGCTGTCTCCTGACATAGATCTCCTCCAGCCTCTTTACCCAACGATAAGTGACCAGCATTTACACCGGGATGAGCGCTATCAAAGAAGAAAGCAAGCCATTCAGCCAGACCAAAAAAAAACCAAAACAAAAAAACCCCAGACTGCTAACTAACAGGCCAGGATGCTTTCTGCATGTCGAGCACCCACAGCCAGTTCATCCTTGCCCAAGAAGATGGAGGATTATCCCCTTTGCCAACTTCAGACCTGGGTGCTAGGCTGGCAGGGGCACCATGCCCATGTCCCCACCAGTCCCATCCTCTCACATGAACCGTTGGCTTCTGACCCTGCTCCTCCCCTTGCCCTCCAAACTGGGAGCTTTCTTTTCGGAAGGACAAATATATACCTTACAGCCCACCTCTTGGGTGGGTTAGCCCAGCGGTGAGCCTGGATCAGGCCCTCCCAGGCACCAATCCCACCTGCCCCCTCTGTGGCAGGTCACTTGAACTTCGTAGCATTGTTTGTCTTCCTACAAAACACCTCTAGAAGTTTACTGCCCTTTTAGGACTGCACTGAGAAGTGAACCAGCAAGCATGAATAAAACATCCCAAAAAATAAAGATTAGGCTCCTGGTAACACCAGTTTTAGGGCACAGCCATGGGCCAGCAGAAGGTTGTGCAGTGGTGCCATGGTCCCCAGCACCACGCAGAGGTCCCTGAGCTGGTGGAGATGCTAGTGCCGCTTTGGGAACTTGGGGACTTGCCATGGACGCACAGCCATCGTGGGTGACCACAGCAGGGAAGTCCCAGCAAAGAGGTCCCGTCTCATCTAGGCAGTGCCATTCCCACCACGGCTATGGTCAACGACGAAGCAAAGCAGCTTTAAATTACCAGAGCAGTCAATAACAACCGCATGGGGGCTGCTGGGACTTTCACTTCTCCCTCGGTAATGACTGGATCTCTCCTGTCCACAAGATGCAATTGCACCATACCACACCAAGCTGAAGGAGAAGACGGTGCTATTGAAGCTGGCTGCAGAGAAGTGTGGATGGATGTTCCCCTCCTCTGCACAGCATGGCTCATCATGACACCACGATTGCATCAACTACTTGAGAAAACTGTCTGGCGTCTTGGTCTGGGCTGCTCTCAGCTGCAATATTTAGGGAAGACTCAAGAAAACACCTTGGCTTCCTCCATTACGTGGTGCAGAATAGTAGAGGGTCTATCCATTCATCACAAATGCAATTTTCATGGTAATAGCTCCCTTTCTCACTTACAATAAATGAAATGTGCTCTGGGGAAAAAGACAAATGCTTCCACACTGCTTGATGCTGGAACAGAAAGCCAGGGAGCTTTTCCTCTGAATTGCTTGCCATGCCATGCAAAGAAGGTTTCAGACCCCAGTGACCACTGCAAGGTGGTGACACCTTCATCACAAGCTAGCCATAAATATGAAACCCATGTCAGCTGGATGATGCAGAGCCAGAGCTGAGAAAAATTCCTTTGTTGGTGGTTTAAGAAAAGCCTTATCGCCTTTAAAGGGCAACAGAGCAGGAATGTGTAAAATGGCCAGTTAGGGGGTCTCACCGTGACTGTGGTGGTGGTGGACGAAGAGCAAACCCTACTAAAGAGAGCGGTGAGCTGTACCTGGTACCCTTGTCCTGGAGTGACTGGGGACTCAGTGCTTATGAAAACTGTTTAAATAAAATGGTGGCCTAGGAATTACATGTTCAAAGATGCTCTTACAGTTGTGATCCCCTGTCTGCATACAGCAACCCCAAGCACTCACGTCATTTTTGTTGAAGTACTTCAGTGCACCTTCCCTCTCCGATAACACGAATTTTCGGCTTAAGAATTGCCCATTGTCACGTCCTCTCTTCCACAGAAATCCTTCTCGGTACCCTGCAGCAGAAAGCAATTGCTGAGAACCAGAAATAAAATGCTGTATTTAAAAAAAGAGACAGTGTAAAGAAAAGGAGAAGAGCTTCGACTTCAAAACCAAGCAGACCAAATATGTGGCTGGATTGCTCAAGACGTGAACGAAACAGGCTTTCTCCTTCAGATTTGCTCTTCTCACTCCGCTCTTGCTCTTTTCCAACAGCTTGTGCCTCAGATGCCCCCGCTCTGACAGCGTGCTGTGGCAAGCAAAGGGGGATTTCTGCCACGCATCCTGTGCTGCAATACAGCTGAAGACTTGAGGAGCAAGGTTGTGTCCCTGCGTGGGCTCCCAAAGGACAGCCTGTGGCAGCCACAGCTCCCGGCGTCAGGGATGCTGCTCAACTTATTCCCATAAGTAGCACTTTTGGAGAAAGGGAAAGGCAGGTGAGACGTGCCCTCCTCTGCTGATGCTGCTAAAAACTGAAAAACAGGATGCGCGAGTGCAGGTAAAGTGATCCAGGGCGGATGGATGTATCAGAGTAAGCCACAAATAACATTTTTCACATGGAAAAGGGGGAAAACGCTTGCAGTTCTTCCCACTGACTTCAGGGCACTTTGGTTCAGAAAGCCACTGAGCCAGACTCAGCATCGTCTCCCCTCGGAGCGGGTCCCTCCAGCCCCCAGGCAGCCCGGCTGGCCACCCGCTGCCTCTTCCCTCTCCCTGGATATCAGTCCCATGGGCGGATTTGCTGCTCGGGAAGAACGCTATTCAAAATACACGTGCTTTATGTAAAACTCAGAAGAGCCAGAAAGAGAAAAAAGAATCTAAAAATCTTACCTCCTCAAATCAGAAAAGCAATTACAGCTAATTGCTGCCAGCACCTCCTGCAGCAGCCACGCTGCTCAGCTTACCTCGCAACAAGTTTAATTGACGCCCTTATTTCAAAAAGAAACCCCAAGAACTGTCCAATACCAGGTTTTGTGAATATTAGCAGAGCAGTTTGATGGTCATCTTCCATTTATTTAAGATATAATTTTACAAAAGTCCCACTGAAAAAGTGTTCCCTTTCTCTCCTAGTTTCACCCCTTTTCTATTTTTGTTATTGGCTCTCAGGAGCTAGGATTTTAAAATTAAAAGCTATATGTTTTATAACAACTTTCAAATAAGTAGCTAAACTTTTTTTTTTTTTTACTATGTCAAGTGGCATATTAAAGCCTCTCCTTTACCTGCCTGCTACAAACCAGTGGTGTACAGAAATTCCTCATTCAACCTGCATTTCACTTGTCCACCCTGATATAGGATTGATTTAAACCACAGATGAAAAGATGCAGAAAAATCCCTCAACCAGCTCCTCAACACTGACTCTACAGGTGTAAGCAATATAAAATATTTCCATGACATAAAAAAACTAAAGCAAGAAAAAAATACATGCGCACACACACATCCCCCCTCCCCTTCTGTCTGGACTTATGAAATCCTACACCAAATACTTTCTCCAGGTCCTCAAAGAGGCTTTACTGAACACCAGGCAAAGCCATCGACGTCTGGCATAAATAAGTGCAATGGCAAAGCCCGTGCTGTTGCTAATGCTGAATGCTAACCACAGAGAGCATCATAAATCCGACCAGCGCATCCGACAGCTGGCACGTGGGACTGCAAATGGGCCGATAACTTGATGCAGATGGAAGCGGTGGAAATATTTAAAGCTGTCAGCAGCCCTTTCCTTTGTTTCTTTATTCTAGACGGGGCATATGTTGCAGCAGGGCTTGATTTTAAATGTGGGGCCTCATCCTGCCGCCCCCGAATAGGGATGCGCTGCCACGCAGCACGGATGCTTCATTTCAGAGCCTGCAGGGATCCCCCCCCACGTTATTTACAGCTCGCTCGCACGAGAGAGACGGCGCAAGCAGAGCGCGCGCCTCTCCCCACCGCGAGGTCCAGCGGTCCCCGCTGCCTGCGCTCCCACGAACCGACCGCATCCCACGGCCAGGCAGACCCAGCAGCAACCGAGGCTGTTTAGCGCCCAGAGATGCGAACGGGACAGCCCAAACCCTCAGTTAGCCCACGGTCGCAGCCAGCCGGTGATGCGACGCTACTGCCCACCTAATCCTTCTGCCTCCCAGCCCTCCCCATCGCTCCGGTGCTCCTTCCCACGCGGAGCATCGTCACCCACGTGCACTGGCAGCTGTATGTACACCAGCCCAGTAACCCAGAGGACCAGTACTGGATACATCAGGGGAATGAGAGGTCCGAAGCTCTTTCTCTGGTCCACCCATCCACCCAGGGAGAGACTTCCCCAAAGCCATGAGCAGGACTAGCTAATTCAGTCCATCAATTCAATCCTGTTCCAACTGTGGGCTTGCTATATACTTTTTCTAGTGAAAAGACACAGCTAAACCATTGGAGGGCACTTGCAGTGTCAGAAAGAGAAGAACCCACAGGGAGCAGGATTATCCGAAGCCTGAGCAAGGGGAAGCAGCCAAGAAAGCCAGCAAAACCCAGCCAAGGGCAACCGCATCCGACAACGGCGCGGGAAAGGCCCAGGCTGATGCAGTCATATCCCCGTTGTGGTAGGAATTAATTGCCAGGAAACCGAAGCTCTGACTGATTCAGAGTCAGATGCTGCTACCTGCCAGGCTCGTATCAGCAAAAATGTTATGTACCCTATAGCAGACTGTACACGACAGAGCTGAAGAGGAATAATGTCTCTCTGACAGGATACAGACAGGCAGTGGGTGATACGTTTATAAAATGCAGGATTTGCTTAATGTAAGGCAGAGCTGCTGCTGGGGCTCTGATGGCTGGCGATTGCCGACTGCTCTCTTGAATGGCAAAACGTTAAGCAGCTTGCTCTCAAAGTGTGTGGTTTAGAAACCAAGGACAGGCAGTTTCTGTTCCTGAAGGGTGCTGATTTTTAATGCCAAGCCAGTCGGAGCAACAGGAGAGTACTTCAAAAGCCATTTCTGTTCACTCCACTAAACAGCAGAGACGGTTTCAGAGCCTCTCCGCCACCTCTCTGTGCCCGATATTTGGGGAACACTAACTTCTTGGGGGGGCTGGAGGGAGCTGGGTTTGGAGGAAAGGACATCACTGTCAAACGAGAGAGAGGAGAGACAACGCAAGGAGGACAGCGACATCCCCAAATGCAAATGTGGGGTTATGCAGAAGGAAAGCTCATCTTTTTCTTCAGAAATCCCTGCCTGGGTATTGCTCTTTTCAGCAGAGCACCGGGCACACAGAGCTCAGCTCTCGGCAGCTCCACCTCGGAGCAGCTCAGCTCCACAAGTCTTGGCTGTGGGTCTCATCCATCCATTCATCTTGAGTGTTTCATTACAAACATCTGAATGGCAAAGGATGCCCCAGGCATTCCTTATTAAACTTGTTCCCTTCCACAACACATTTTTTGTGATTTTTCTTAACACTTACGGGATGAAGAACAAAATTGCTCTGCATTTCCCCAAAGAGGATCTCAAATAATTGCAAATCTGTAAAGTCCACCTAATGCTTATCCCTGGCAGATGGGAATCGTAACAGTTATATACAAAGAGAGGGAAGCCCAGAGAGGTTTGGTGAACTGCCCAGGACAAGACTGTGAGCCAGCGTCAAAGTCAGGCTGGAAACCCAGCTTTCCCTGCCGCCTTACATAGGGACATTTCACCATTTTAATTTTCCCTTTCCAACCTTTTGTGGCAAGACACAATATCCAAATTCCACTCCAAGGAAGAACTAAAAAAACCCAACACAACACAAAGCGTTATCCCTTTCCATACTTCACATGCCAGCTCTTCCCAGACCAATTGCCTCTGCAAAAGAGCTCCTGGCTGCTCTGACAAAGCCAGCTGCTAATTTCACTCTACTTCAGTACAGATTGTGACAAATCCTTTACTTGCTTCTTTTCTTTTTCTTTCTTTCTTCCTTCCTGCCTCCAGGGCTGCATCCTCGGGAGCTGTTCCTGTGCTCTGCCCCAACCTGCTGCCTGCACCCCTGTCAACACCAATCAGTGCAAACCACCGTGAACCGGACTTGAACCCAACATGAACCCATCCAGGTTCCCCAGGCAAACAGTATGTCAGCGAGATGTGTCCTCAATGTCCTGATCTAAAGGATCGTGAAAACAGCCAGAGAAGGTGTTGAGAAACAAAACTGCGGGAGCCTGAACAGGGAACGGATTCCACAACGGAGGGCATTGGAGTCGGAGAACTAAACCGCTTCTTCCACGTCTCTGTGGGCTGCACTACCTTAGCAACTGCTTCGTATTAGGAGGTATCTGGCCAAATTCAGATCTCCGCGAGGGCTGTTCTGCTTATGTTGAAGCTAAACAACCGCTAGCCCTACAACGCTTGCCGATGGCTGGCGTTGGACCACGCAGCATCGTGTTGCCAACACGTTTGCTTCCTCTCCCGAGGTGCAGGATGAGGGATGCGGCCGCCTGTCATCATCCCACTCGATCACCAGCACCCAACTGTGACTGCAGAAAGGACTACCGGGTGAAGACCTGCTGGAGATCACCTACAGGCACCCTTTAGAAATATCCCTCTCGCGTTGCTTACACCGCTGCTGTTCGGTCGTCAAGTTTTCTGCATCACTTCAGCCGCCTGCCAAGAAGAAAAACCAATTGCTTGCTCTTGTAGGCAGTTCTGGCGCAAACCTGTGACACTTGCAAAAAAAACATCAAGCAGTTGTGACAAAGTTAGCCAACAAACGGCACGTAATATAACCTGAAATCACACAGCCCAAATGGGTATGTTTGACCCATTATGTAGTTTCCAAGGTACAATGAGGAACTGACATTTCCACGTTCACTTCATCGCGCCAGCTAAAACTCTGTGGGGCAAAGAAAACAGAGTTGCTACGTTGGTTGACTGAAAAGAAGATATTTCATGGCCTTGTCAGCTCCGTTGAGGTGGCAGCTGGAGCTCCTCCAAGCCAAGCATCTAAAACTGGCAGGACCCATTGGGCACTCGAGTCTAGCCCAACTTTCTTGTTGTCTGAGAGGCCGCAGAGGAAGCGAGGGAGAGGTTTT